ACAAAAAAAAAGTTTGAATACAGTTATTGTGTTAAGGAATACAGTCACTTAACAGTAGGGCAGCCGAACAGTCATCAAACAGTTCAGCAAACAATAGGCATCCGAACAGACAAGGATGATAGTACCTCTTTTAGTTTTAGATGATAGTCTCCCTTATGGTAAACCAGAACTCCTTGACTGTAAACCAGAGCTCCTTCTACGAATCCTCAAATAATAGGCAGCTGAACAGAAGATGAGCAATATTTCTTTTAGTTTCAGATGATAGTCTTTCTGAAGACAGAACACCCTCTACGAACTGCAAGCAATAGTCTCTCTATAGTCGAGTAGATGGATGCAACAGTAGTTCGATTGGAGACAAAAAACTCTGATGCAACAGTAGTTTCTGGGCTGGAATACAAAAAGACTCTGTAACTTCTGGATCAAACTGATTTCACCAGATTAGGAGTTCGATTGGAGACAGCACTGGATGCAACAGTAGTTATCTTGACACCACCCTTCAGGCCTGGAYGACTTGCTCTGATACCATGTTGAGCAAGAGCAAGTGAAGAGAGGAGAGGAGAAGAGAGAAGAGAGGTGAGTCGAGTGACTGAAAGCCCTCCAGAACTTAGGGGGCGAAAGAATGATTTTATTATTTACTAGTACAGTCGAACAATATAAACAGAGGAGTAATTACAACAGTACCCTTATGGTACTAAACCTGAATACATACACAACTGTCAACAAATGGTATGTCCATCCATACCATAGCGTGTACATCTTCTCGGACCTGAACTACATCCTCTACCGCGGTCCCCCTGAATCTCGACCACCAATATGACCACCACCACGGTTATACATAGGTTCATCACCACCACTATGACCATATACCGGTCCACTACTACCACTACGACCAGATTGAGCTCCCCAAGCTCCACTTCTAACACCACGGCCCCTTGGTACCTACAAAGGCCGATCTATCAGAAACACTAGAGTTCTCGGTAGATCCAATAGAAATCCTCCTAAGTTGAGCAAACACCTCTTCTAAGGAAGGGAGAGTTGATACTTCTAGTATCTGTGCCCGCAGTGGTTCATATTCAGACTTCAGCCCCACCAAAAATCAGGTCACATCTAGTTGTTCTCTCTGCTGTTGCTGAATTTTAACATCAGAGGTGAGGGGGTGATACACATTCAACTCATTACGAATGTTTCTCATACTAGCATAGTATTCCTCAAGACTCTGATTACCCTGTTGCAAATTAAAATATTCCTAATACAGCTGATATACTCTAGTTGTGTTGTCTTGACCTGAATACAACTTCTTAACATGGTCTCACACTTATCAAGAAACATGAAATTCATACTAATCTTGGGTTCCATACTATTCCATAACCATGTGATAATCTGTGCATCTTCTTGTTCCCAGTCATCATACTCATGAGAGTCTGTAGAGGGTTTTGCCTCCCTTATGTGTTTCACTTTCTTCTTTGCCTTAAGAAAGACTTCTACAGATTTTCCCAAGGTACATAATTTTCTCCATTCAACTTAATAGAGGTCATCTGAACATTCAGGTAGTCAGTAGGGACCATCACACTAGTTTTACTGTCACTGTTGTCTCCCATTGCTGAATTCTGTTATTGCTGAATTCTGCAAACTGCACACTAAACCACACTGTTCTCAGCACCTGTTATTGCTGAATATTGCACTCTCTACACCACACGACTACCTGAAAATTCACCACACTATTCGAGGATCACTCCCCCTTCAAATCACACTGAAATTTGCATAAACCCTAACACACTACAACCTGAATTCCCACCATACGATCTGAAACATACTCGTCATTTGATTCACAATAAAAACTGCATAAAAACCTCTTACCTAATCACTAGAAAATCAGACTATACTCAACACCCACTGCATCACTCGAATCAACCCTCTTCTCTTCACCAATTAGGGGAGGGCTTCCTACAAACCACAGAAACCAGCCACGAACTGCACGAATGGAGGCATAGAAACCTCCAAGGGAAGAGGGCGATCACTCCTTTTCAGCCCCTTCCCTTATCTCCAACTGATGGCAAAGAATACAAGAGAAAACCCTAGACTGGGTGTGTGAAGAACAGAATTCTGGGCAGATTCGATTTGCTCAGTTTGGCTCTGATACCATATTAGAATCCAATATGCCTTTGAATTCTGTTAGAATGGTAACAGTAGAAATAAGAGAAAGAGGAGAAGAGAAAGAAGAAGAAGAAGAGAAGAGAATAGAGAGGGAGAAAGGTCTGGTTCGAACAAGAGAGAAAATCAGTCTCTCTCCATTCGCCAGATCTATTTTATATTTCTATTAATTAAGAAAGGACACCTTTGCCCCTATTTAAGTGAGGGACACAAGTGCTAACATAACTTTACACATCAGTAACTTAAACATAAGCATAAAGACAAAAATACCCCTACACAGTCGACATTAACAGTAAGAAATGATTTAAGTGCTCATAAATTAACAATGGATATGACACCAAATAAAGCGGCTCATGTGATTGCCCAAAATGTTGAAGTAGTTGGGTCCCATTGGAGGAATTGTCCAAGACATGTATGCTGGAGCAAGGCTTTCAATCTTTTGTGCTCAATCATATCAGAAGAGGGGACAACAAAGCAGCTCATGTGGTTGCCTTGAAGTTGAAGGATTATGCGTCTGCAAGTGTTTTTACCTCTGCTTCTGTGTTGCCAGTTTGGCTTGAAGAGGCCCTGGTGGATGATTGCCCTAATTTTGTATTCTCCTGGATTTTTTATTGAAATTTAAGCAGTTACAAAAAAAAAAAAAAAAGGATATGGCACTAAATAGGATGGAATGGTGAAACAGGATTCATGTAGCTGGTCCCATATAGTTGGGATAAGGCTTAGATATGATGATGATGATCATTATTTGAATAAATGGGCTGGCAGATCTTCTAGCTAAACAAGGAGTACATAGGAGTCAGCTCTTTTGGGCTCAATTGTAAGCTTTATGATGTAGTTTGGAGGCTGCACCTCGTGCCTCTTTGTGGGGAATTGTATGATGAATACTTAGTTCTTTATTTAATAAAATTTTCATTATCATTACCTATCAAAAAAAAGATGATCATTATTTGAATAAATGGGCTGGCAGATCTTCTAGCTAAACAAGGAGTACATAGGAGTCAGCTCTTTTGGGCTCAATTGTAAGCTTTATGATGTAGTTTGGAGGCTGCACCTCGTGCCTCTTTGTGGGGAATTGTATGATGAATACTTAGTTCTTTATTTAATAAAATTTTCATTATCATTACCTATCAAAAAAAAGATGATCATTATTTGAATAAATCAGATGGTTACAAAATTCATGAGTTATCTCATAAATGGTGCCCTTCAGATATTGGTCCAGAAACACTTGCATGGACACCTCGTCTACCCACTTCCATTTCAGAGGCCACCATTGGGATCTATTTTTTGTCTTGGATTTCCTAATACAAAAAAAGTGGTATCTATGAAATGCTAGGCTATTTATGAAAGTAGGATAAACAACCTAAACTGTGTCTAATATTCAAGTCAAGGTGATTTTCTTATTTATTTATTTATTTTGGAGGCTTAAGGGTGTTGTAGATAATGGGCATAAGAGCACATTGGTCTCTTTCATTAATTGGCCACTATAATGAATTTACCATTACTAGAACACCCTTCCTGATTATCTGTCATTACAAAGATCTAAGATCTTACTCTAGAAGTGATGATGTTGGGTGTATATTTAATGGAATGGCTGGACTTTTGGTGATTTGATTCAGAAGAACTGTGGAAAGCTTTACTGCCAGGTTACTAGACAGGTTTGGAACTTCTTCCTGAATCCTGTTGGGTTGAGAGGAAAAGAAGAACTTCTTCCTTTCTTCGTAAACTCTGAAAGCGAATCTTTGAGAACAAGAGCAGAATTGCCCAAGACTTGATTGCTCATATCTTCTTTTACTGCAACTTGCGGAATGTGACTGCTGAAATCTTTAAAGAAACTTCCTTAAATGACTTATAGAGGAATGTAGCCAATTTTCTCCACTCTTCTCCTTGCACTTTGACAGTCCTGTTGGTTTTCTCCACTTGAGAGGGATTTGATGCTAAACTTTGATGGTTGTGCTTTAGGCTCAGTTTGGGAAGAGTGCAAATGCAAATATATTCAGTGCAAAACCTTGTATGCGGTATTTCTAATCCTTGTATTTGTACTGTACATATTTATATTTGCACTATTCCAAAACTGAGCTTTAGGAAACCCAGGGATGACTGACACTGGTGGTGTGATCAGGGAGATGGATGGTAACATCCTCTGGGCCTTCAGTGGTCCAATAGGGATAGCAAATTCTACAAAGGCTGAAGTCCTGGCCGATTGTGTGGCTGAGGCCAGAGATCTTTTGGTTGGTATGGACACACTCATATGGATTCCAAGAGAGCGGAATTCACTTGCAAAAAACCTTGCAAAATCGGGGAGCATTAGAGATTCTCTTTATAGTGACTCTACTCTTCCTGTGTAACTGAGTGTGTTTTCCTTTTCTTTTTTCTGTACATCTCCTCGTGTACCTTTTCTGAATTAATGAATATAGCTATCTTTTCTCAAAAAAGAAAGGCTGTACTTTTGGTTTCTATAATATTATTGGCTATTTACTTTTTTGTTGGGATGCCATAAACAATGATAGTATATTTGACATATTCTTCTGCACTCCTGTAACAGGACTGCTGCTTGATTCCTGAGTCTCCATTTTATCTTGAAGGTCAGGATGGGCTTTTTGAATTTATAGAGAAGAGGCTTAAAGAAAATGGGCATATCGTCATTGTGCTGGCAGAGGGTGCTGGACAGGAGCATGTTGCTCGGATCATGCATGCTGTTGGTGAAAAAGATGCATCAGGGAATAGATTGCTTCTAGATGTTGGGTTATGGCTATCTCAAGAAATCAAGGTTTGGTACATTAATCTACCTTGTGTTAACATCTGATAAAGAATAGCCATCTGAAAAGAATTCGTTATCCCTTAAGTATGACAGAAAAGGATATCTCCCATTATTTGGTATAATTGTAAAATCCCGGGTTGACAAACATGATAACGTGGATTCGAGTCTGAGGATGGCCACTTTATGTGAAAAAAATGCCAAAGATTAGGACCTTACCTAGCCTACCCCTCCCTCCCAAGACCCCAGATAGCTGGGACCAACATTGGGTAATGACCTTTTTAATCTTTTATCTCCCATGATTATGGAAAACTTGATTATTCTTAGTCCATATTGCTTTTCTTCAATGTCATGGTAACTTTGGTCAATTTGCATAACTGAACATTTCAATGATCGGCAATCAGCATGTAGACAACATGATAAGCTTCATATTACTGGTCCAATAAGATGGAAATCATCTTCAAAAACCCAGTGAGAGTAATACTGACAAGAAAAACAGAGACACTGGAGAGCATTTTTCTTGAGGGTATTTCCATCAACTTTTGAAGTCAGTAATGTTTTAGTCTTTCTGTCAGATAGCATGAAACTTTCTTATCTCATACTTCGATTTTTTTTTTCTTCTTCTGTTTTTACTTTTCCGTTTGATAACAAGTGATGAGTAATAAAAAAAGTATTTCATCACTTATTAGACATAAGAATGTATAAGAGAGGGTCTTTAGACCCCAAAAAGTCTTCACTCTTCCACCTTCTACACCCAAAACATTGTTCCAATTAGATACCAAAATCCCTCTTATGAAGGGATGGACCTAACTAATCTCTGCTGTCTTTGTGGGTTTTTTCAAGTAAATGGAAAATCCTTCGGAGCTTTCTGTCATTTTCCATAGCTTGGTCTTTCTTGAAACAAAGGAATAGCTGGGGTTTTGAAGCTAAGGCCTTGCCTGTTGAGCAAGATTGAGTGGACCCTCATGAGATGGTCAAGGGTGTTAAAAGAAACTTGTGGTGATCTTTTTGTGAGGGTGTCTCACCATCCTTTCAGCAATACAATACCATTTGTGTCTTTGAGAGTCATTGCATAATATGAGTGGACTATAATATTTTCAATCTCCTATCATCTTATTATAAATATTGCACTTCCTGCATCTGCATGAAGTAGTGAATAATTTTGTTTAAACTTACTCCTGTTTTATAGTTTCACATGTATACAAGACCTTACTTTTGTTTTGCCAGGATCATTTCACAAAGGAACGGAAAATGGCAATAAATCTCAAGTACATAGGTAATTCTTAAGATAATAATACGTCTTACTTATTCTCTATGACATAGCCTTCTTATGGGAAATTCATATTCTAAACTTTTACTACTTGTACATGTTATATCTTTCAATATCCTTTTCTCCCCCCCCCCCCTCCCCCCCCTTCATACAGTAACAAGAACTCTTTCTACTAGTCTCCTTATTTTGGAAGGATCTTTGTATTTCACTCGTGATAACACTATAATTTCCTTTGAAAGTAGAAAATTTTCCTTAGTGTCTTGAAATTTCCTATCAAAATCAACAGATTTCTGTGCAACTGTCACCACAAGTTGTCTTTTTTTTTTTATTTTCTGAAAGAAATCATGAAATACTTGTCTTCAGATGATCTGAATGTCATTGTGCATAAAATGAAAATACTCTTATGTATTAAATTTTTGCTAAATTCCTGATAAGACTTTGGGACTCTATTTTATATGAATCCTTTACTCTTTTGTCCTGTTGTAAATCCATTATGAAGATTCTTTTTGGTTAAGAAATGCCTTGTCTTTTTTCTGTTCATAAATGTTTTCCTTCTAGACTTTTTATCAGTAACTGTCTTTTTTCAATAATTAAAAGAAGAAAAACCTTACTTTCCAATCAACTTGGAAGAGTAGGATATCAAATACCAAACATCCAGTGGCTGACAATGCCCACACAATGGAGTACACAACAGTTATAAGTGTCCACCAGGCTCTGGCATTGCCCATTCTAACTCACTGTTGTTGACTCTCATCCTTTCTAGATCATCTATTAAACTGTTTTCATATCCAGGAATACAGCTGAACAAGCAGTCCAGGTCAGAAGCTAAAGCCAATGCTTTCTCTAAGCAGATAACTAAGATAGCAAGGTACCTGAGCTTTTGATTGCATGCAACCTACTGACAGTCTCCCTCAACACAAATCCCACTCCATCCAATGATCTTTGCAAGTTGCATTCCTTGAACCAGTGCCAAAAATTCAGCCTTCAAAGACAACCAACATAGCTGAGCCTTAAAAATCATCAAGATGTGTCATGGCACCTTGCAACTTCCCTTTCCAGACTTTCTCACCTGTTCATGCGAAATTTGATCATATTTAAAATTAGAAATCATCATTTTGAACCTGGAAGAACAAAATGTTAAATTCATCTTTTGACGGGATATGTGTGATAGGTTCTCAAGAGGCCCGAGCTGCAGAGTAGAAAGTTGGAGTGCTTTGGTCTTGAGTGTCGGGGTTCAATGGTGGTTCTAAACTCTGGAAAGTTGACAATGAGCCCAATGCTGTTCAGTTGGTTGTCATTAGAGTAATCTTAATGCTATTTTTCCCTCAGGAAGAATGGTAAGCTCATATTGAACATTAAATGTTCATCTTGAACCTTTTAATCAATCATACTTAATACTTGAAGCCTGCTAACTACATTGGCTAGGTATAGTCTGAAGTGTGCAGATCTGATCACTAGGCCCCAAAAGGTTGCTACCATAGATCTAGGTTGTAATCCAGCCCCCTGGGTCATCCCTATAGAAGTTTCTGGCTTTAGGGGTGCAAATGGATCAGGTTTAATCCGATTTGAATTTGAATCTGATTCGCTTAAGTTGGATTTGGATATTCGTTTAGCCATAATTGGATTTGAAAATATTATCCACTTAATAATCAAATCTAATTCGGATATTGCTTGATCTGATCTGTTAAGATTGAATCTGATTCAATTATATGTATGCATATGCAAAATATTATTTTTTTTAGTATTAAAATTCTTTAGAATTAAGTAGGAATTAGGGTTAGATATATTTTTTCCTGTTAATAATATATCATTTGTTTTATTTAAAAGTATAGCTTTATACTAATTTTATATAAATTTACTAATATTTTAATCAAATCAGATATCCAAATATGTAAAAGGGTCCAATTTGAATGTGTGCTTTACATATCCGTTGGATATTGGGTTGGATTCGGATCTCTTGGATTCTTCTACACCCCAATCTGAATTTGATCTAATCCATTTGCAGCATTATCATGGTTGAATGAATGTTAATACAATTGAAAATAATGCTTTGAAGATGGGACTCGGAAAATGCAGTAGATGGTTGAGAGGACTATGTAGCAGATTGCCAAAAAGAAAATGATACAATTCAGTTGTTTCAGCAGTGTTTAATTTTTTTGATCTTGCTGTTTTCATAGTTTTCATGCTCATAAGGAGGTCAAAACTCTTGCTGATGGCTTTGCCAACTTATTAGACTGGAGAGGTCCCACCTTTTATAGCTTTTCTTCCTTTTTCCTTGTAAACGGTGAAGTATGCTTTTCTTCTTTTTTAGGTGTGATGTTGCACTTAGTAATGCCAATTTGTTTACCAACATTGGTTAGGCAACTCAATTAGACTTTGACTTTCTATGTCTTCAGCCGTTAGCTTCATTTTCTTGCTTTTACCTTTTCTATGTAATTTTCCTTTCTTAGGAGTGATGTACATTTCTGATATTGTTCTATTAGTAGATATTGATTATGCAGCTCTAAATATAAACAGTAATTAAACATTGTACTTCTATTTCTTTAGCTGTTGGCGTCATTTTCATATTTTTTATGTAATATATTTTTAGTATGCTGGTTGTACAAATAGCTAAACTTAGTTTTGCAGATCCAACATACATGATCCGAGCCATTCCAAGTAATGCATCAGACAATATCTATTGTACACTTCTTGCACATAGTGCTGTTCATGGAGCCATGGCAGGGTACACAGGCTTCACAGTTGGACCTGTAAACAGCAGACATGCTTATATTCCAATTGCTGTAAGAACCTATTTCCTTCTCAATGAATAATTACTATTTTATGTCCACAAATATCTTTAATTAAGCATGTAATTTTAATTTGCTAAACTAGATTTAGAATTTCAGCTTGTATAGTTTAGGCAAAATGGTTTTTGAATGTTCCTCATGTATTTTTTTTTCAACTAGCAAGTTCTGTTTTGCCATTATTTTCCCTTCTGGCAATATTGTAGCCTGAAATTTGGCAATTTCAGAAGCAATGCTTGGTGATGCTTTTTTTTAAAGGTGAGGATAATTATATTATAGAAAAGAAAATTGGGGGGGGGGATGATTCCTACCTAAATTATACCATTACAAAATTCAGAGAATTTGAGGCCCTTGTATTTCTCCAAAATAGAAGCCCATTAAACCAACAATGCTTGGTGATGTTATTAAGAGAACATGTATTGTTGAAACCGCTTGCCTTTCCAAGCATTGGATGACTTGATTAATTTAATAACATGCATGTTCTTGTTAGATGATGTATATAGGCAATGAGATTCAAAAAAGGTTAAGGGAAAAAAACATTGGGACTAGAGTCTACAAAAAACCATGTTACACCCCTCTGCCAATAGAGACAATGAGACATTCAATGTAGGGCCCAATAAACTCAGGCCTGTCAAGATATTAAGAAAAAAAAAGAAAAAAAAAAAAAGAAAAGGAAAGGAAAGAGAATAAAAGAAAAATAGCCTAATGTTCATGGTGTAATGTGGTTTTGCAGCGTGTGACAGAGACGCAGAACACTGTCAAGCTGACGGACAGGATGTGGGCTAGACTTCTTGCCTCGACAAATCAACCAAGCTTCTTAAACTACAATAAAGTGATGCAAGAAAAGGCCGAAAAAGAAACCACTAATTTGATTGACAGCACAAGGACTTCTGTGTAATTTATACGAAGCTGTGGTTGGAATTGCCAAATTCAAATTGGATCAACAGCTAAACGCCATCTCCCATTGTTTTGACAGCTTCACGAAATCTTTATTTTATTCTTCTCCAGAAAGTGATACAAAGTTGGTTCTTGTTAAGTAGAGATTTAGTGATTAGGTCTTTTCAGTCTCAACTTCAATATGCTGACTACATTTTCAGTTTGTTTAATGTAATCAGAAATAGTAGGACAAGGCTTTTTCAAGTATTGAGTACTCAGAAGAAGCTTGGCTGAGTTGAACCAACACTTCATCAGTAAATGTTTGTGCAGTAAGATTTCTTAGTAGTTCATGTACTTTGCTCCACCATTTGTGGGTAGCATAATGAGATGAACCCAAGGTTGGCAAGTATCCCTCCCTTTTATTTAAACATCAAGCAAGCACAAGCTGCTAACTGCAGTAGCGTGGCAAAAGAATCTCCCTTGCCTATTCAGTTATTCAGACGGTGTCTCCACATGAGGTTAGATGCTACAAAAATACTGGAGCGTCACAAGACAAAAATGCATCCATTTGACTGCCCATCAATGGTGAATATAGCCATTTGAATCCACATAACAAGTAAAAATAATCGGATTTCTGAATGACCCAACTGATGCTTACAGAATACTTCTGGAAGAAAGAGAAACCTTGTGGTTGAAAATCTTAAACAAAAATCAGGTTTTCTAAAGCATTACCAACCCTTCCTTTCTGTAAGCAGGCAACAACTTGCCAATTTCCCATATGATCATCATATGTTCATGTAGAAGACATCCTTCAAAAAAATAAAAAATAAATAAAAAAAAACAATTCTTTGAATTTCGTTTTTGTATTCAATTAAAGGATTCTGTTGATAAGTTAGTAAATATGAGGCAGGGGTTCACTACAATCCAGTATTAGTCAAAGCAAAATGTTATTAAGTCAGTCGCCTTACAATTAGCTTCCCCACTCATATGCGCCCATAACTGTCCCAACATCCATTCTATCACCTCCCAATGTGGGTGCACTACATCCCCTGCCACAAACTCCCATACCTTACAATCAATCTCAATTACGCTACAACCTGCCTCTTTCTTGGCCCTATTCCTCTTCATCAATGCTTTCACCTCTTCCACATCCTTCCACCTTTTTGCCCCAGCATAAAGGTTCCTCAACATAACATAGTTCCCATCATTCCAAGGCTCCATTTCCAACGTCTTCCATTTTATTCTCTCAGCCCTTGTAACATCCCCACGGCATCCACAAGCAAAAAGAAAAGAACTCAAGATTATCCCATTTACCTCATAAGGCATTTTCTGAATCAATTGCTCAGCTTCTTCTAAGAACCCTGCCCTCCCCAAGAGATCAATCATACACCCATAGTGCTCTATTCTAGGGGTAAGCCCATATCCCTTCATCATGTTGAACCAATTCCTCCCTTCCTCCACCAAACCACCATGATTACAAGCAGACAAGACCCCCAGCATAGTTACCTCATTCGGCTTAATTCCTTCGCTTCGCATCTCAGAGAAAACCTCTAATGCTTCGTTGGCACATCCATTGACAGCTAACCCATTGATCATAGCATTCCAAGAAGCTGTTTCCCTTTCCTCCATCTCGTCAAAAACTTGTTTTGCTTTTAGAATTTCACCACATTTAGCATACATATCCACCAATGCTGTGCAGATATTGACCTCCCTGTCAAGTTTCATTCTCCTGACATATTGATGAACCCAACCGCCCAAATCCAGAGCGCCCACATCTGCAATGGCTGGGAGAATGCTCACAATAGTCACTTTGTCTGGTCGAAAGGAGTATGATTGCATCTTCCTAAACAGCTCCAATGCTTCATTTGGTCGCTTATTCTGGCAATACCCACCAATCATGGCATTCCAAGAGACAAGACTTTGCTCAGGCATTGTATCAAAGAGTAATCTTGCAGTAGCAAGATCACCATTCTTGCAGTACCCGGAAATCAAAGTGGTCCAAGATACAATATTCCTTTCTGGCATCTCTTCAAACAATTCCCGTGCAGAGTCCATGTTCCCCGATTTGACATATGCATTAACCATTGCGTTAAATGCCGCAGGGTCCTTCTCAGGCATCCTACAGAACAATTCCCTTGCAGTAACGACGTCCCCGCATCTTGCATATCCAACAACCAAAGCTGTCCAAGATACCTGATTTTTGAGAGGCATTTCATCAAACAACTTTCTGGCCAATATCATCTCTCCAAACTTTGCGTACATATCTACAATTGCAGTCGATATAAACAAGTTAAAGCAGTAACCCATCTTGATCACCTCACTATGGAATTGCTGCCCTTCTTTAACGGCCAAATTGGATCCACAGGACTTCACCAAGGCTGGGAACGTGTAGTTATCAGGTGTGAATAGCGTCTCATTCCTGAGGCGTTTGTAGAGAGTCATGGCCTCCCTAAACTGCTGCTTATCGACGTGAGCTTTGATCATGGAATTACATAGGAATACGTCGTCCCTATGATGCCGATGATCGAATACACATCGAGCATGACGGATTCCAGCAAGTGGGTCAGAAGTTCCAACAACAGCAACAGAAGCACAGGCAATGATGAACTTAGTGAGCAGATTAACGTTGGTTTCAAGGGCGTTTCTCAGCATGAAACCATGAATTTGGAGGATAGAGTTTTTGGTGTTGGGCCGCTGCAGGAGAGAAAGGCATCTTCTCTCTCTCGGGCTCCAAAGCGGTTTTGCCTCCTCTTCAGTCATGGCTATGATTTCGATCTTGAACGGTTTGATCCGATGATACCACAAGAAGGAGAACGGAAGAAGAGTAGAAAGGAGGAGCGCTTTCTCTCCTTAAACTTCATTTTCTGAAGAGGAGGGGTCTTGGTCTTGGTTGCAGGGTCGCTTTATCAAACATGCTTCTTAGGCTCTTAGCCAGTACTCAGTGGTCAGTAGGGGGCCGTTCGGGGTCGGAGCTTCTGAACTCTCGAACTTTGAAGGGCGGTTATGGCAGTTAAATAGCTTCCAGAAATGAAATGGGGTGCAAAAAGAATACCAGAGGTCGACTATTTCATATGGCTTTATCCCGTTTTACAGGTGATAAAGCATGCTAATAAATTCAATCATGAAAACCATGAATGTTGTTCATTTTCCAAACGAAGGGCTGCAACTGACACTGAATCGAAGTGAAGGTTTCTCATACAATAATTGAGGGCAAAATGCCATACAGAGCAAGTCAATATGTCATAATGTTGATTGATGGCATTGATGAAACCTCTGAGGGCTACATTGAAATGTTTCTGGAAAGAAAAACCAGCAGGTGTGACCATCAGACTCCATCAATTTCTGAGAAGATTTGAGTTTCTGAGAAGTAGAGGTTTGCAACTCCTGACTGTGCATCTAAACTAAAGAGCAGCACAGTTGTCAATGATGATATCTTGACAAAATATATTCCTCTTGAATTGATTCTTCCCAGTGCTTGTAATTCATAGATCATTAGATTATTTGAGGTTTGCCAAGAATCAGGGAAAAAGAACATGGACAAATGGAACCAACAAATAAAACTTGCTAGAAATTTGTATAATTGGTATAAAGAGGGAATTAAAGGCAGAGTGTAGTGGTAATATCATTAACAACAGTGAGGAGAACCATAAAAGGAGGGAATCCAAATTCCTAGGAATGCCAAGCGGCTGGTTGTAGCGGAGACTTGGGATAGAATTAAGGGTGTTCATGAAAAACCGAACTGAACCGAGAAAATCGAACCAGAAAATATGGTTAATTGAATTAATCTGATTGGTTCAGTTATGGCTTAGTATTTTTAAAAAACCTAAGGATAGGTTCAGTTTGTGATTAACTTTAAAAAAATGAGGGTTAATCAAATCGACCAATATATATATATATATATATAATTTACAAATATTGCCCATGGTTCAGTTAACCGAACCGTGAACACCCCCAGATAGAATCCTGCCCACACCTGGGTTGGGGGATGGTTTGAAAAATAAAATAAAATTAACCATTCTTATATAATTCAGAGCCCATTTGGGAGAGCTTGTATGTTAAAGCCAATATAGTGGTGATCAACTCGTATTCCAGAGAAACTATTTGGAATAACTTTGTATTTCAGCTGAATTTCTTATAAGTGGAACATGAATCAACTTTCCCGATTTTTATCCAATATAGCTTCTGGCATTCCTGTATGGGGCTTAGCTCAGAATGCCAGAAATTGCGTTTGATAAGGGCAAATTTCTTAAACTATCTTTGTGGTTTAGCTAATTGACTAAAGTGGCGTTTGATAAATCTAAAATTTGAAATCTGAAAAATACTAATTAAAAGAAACAAAATATCAAATTTACTGGTGTTCTGAAATCATCCCACTGTTTCCTCTCGATGACAATACGCATCAGAAATTCTGGTGTACCACAATGCCACCAAGTACCTCGTCCAAACCGTATACTTCTACGGGGTGTCAATGGTAAAGACTCAGTGCTGGTTTTTTATCAGATTATCGGGACATTCTGGAATGTTGAGAATACGACGGAGGATTACGCAAGGAATTTGTCACCGCCGCTTTGTTCTTCATCTCAAGGTTGAAGATGATGAACAGTTCACATGAAGGGTATTTTAGAAAATTAAAAAAAAAAAATTCAGTTACGTAATATCATATGTGAATGGAGTGTGACAGAATTTTAATGTTAAGAAAGGTTTTAGACAATTAATCAATTAGCTGAAACATAAAAGTAGTTTAAAAAATTTGTCCTTAAAATAATAACATTTAAAAAAATGAAATTTGGAAATCAAGTTCAGACGTTCAGTTCGAAGGAAAACAAGGTAGAAATCAACTAATCATCATCAGTTAGAAATTGGAAAAACGTTTTCCAGACTAGAATTTAAAATTAATCCCAATTCCATGAGTGACGATGTAAGGAAGTATGGTAGTTGACGCCTTGAGGGTGTCAATTTGGTGAAATATACCATGGATGTTTATGATGAGAGAGAGAGAGAGAGGAAGATGTTAATTAAGCCCCAATAACATTAACAAGTGAATGGCCTGGAAAATCATCAATTTGGTGGGACCCTGAAGAGGATACTCCGTCTGGGCCATCCGAGTTTTAGCTATTGATGGCAAGAATACAAACTTGGGCCAACGTCATATTGTTGCTTCAAAGCTGATCCATTCAGAGATTAGTACAGGAAAGCCCTAGCACAAGGCTTTTGAGTTTTGACAATGAGCTTAGAGAATTATTCTAAAGGCTCATCCTGAAATAATTCAGCATTCACATCGTATGGAAATTTACAGGTTCCAACAGTAAACAAGAGGCCATGGTTGCTGTTAACTGAGGCCTAGAAAGCATTCATCAGAACAAGGAAACATTTTGTCTTGGGAATTTAACACAAAATCGGGTGATGCCAACTTAAGTATTTTTCGGCATTCAAGACCCAGACTCAATGTGCTATCAAATATATATGCAGTATGAACACCTCTTCACTTTAACACACACACAAACAAAACAAAACAAAAAAAAGGCAATTCATGTAGATGACAAAAAGAATGTACTCCCATGTGATTTCCAAATCCTCTCCGATTTTAAAGGCTAAGACGCTCCTAAACAGAATTTACTCAATTTAGTGCTTGCCATATGACTGAAGGATTTTACTACTTCCCAGGAGCTGGCTTCTCATTCCCACACCCCTTCCGGTTGCATACCATTCGGAAAGGGTAGTTGAGGTTTTCACATCTGCTACATCTCCAACTGCCTTCTGGGATACCTGAAACAGAGTGGTTTGTACCCTAAAAAAAGAATTCCTTTAAAAAATTAGTACACTATACAAGCTCAATGCATATATCATAAACAAATATGCAGAGATAAAATAATAACGCATACGTGATATAGTTGCAGCTTGCAAGCAAACACATGAGGACCATTCTTGAGAGTCTTGGGACAAGTGTATACCACTATCTTGCCCAAGTTTGTGCATCCATTTGATAAGCATGTTAATGGATGCATAAAGCAAACGAGTGATACATATCCAAATTCAAGGTAGGCTAATAAGCATTTCTTTCTGAAACATCTTTCTAATTTCATCATTTCTTTGTTAAGGGAGCACGATAACCGTCATACAAACTCACATTAAAGGTGGGGATAACTCATAACTCATAAATTGAAAAGATGAGACAAATCATGGTGGATGCCCATAGTTGAATCCCACTCAACATTATGATCTCATTGCAAACCACCACAAACAGGGAAAAAATGCAAGATCTCTTTGCATTGGACAGAAGACCAGGGCCTGAGTCTCATCATCAAAAACCACCAACTTATAACCAGACAACCAGTTTTGTTCATAACTTCTACAATAGTCAACCTGAAATAACATTTGGATTAATGGCTCGCATTATCGATAGCTTTCCGAAAGGACAAGTAACTAGTTTCAACATCAATAGGTAGCACATCTGAAATGATTGATCCTCCCCTTCCTCTCCCCATAAAAGTAATTGAATGATCTATTTCCATCATTCACCCCCAGTGAGCTTTTACCATTTTCACCTAAAGGTGCCACTAAAGTATTGCAACCATAACTTGAATACACATCAAATCAGGCAAGAATGACTTACAGAAGAGGGTCTTGGAGTTCCACATTTCTTCATGTTGCATGTTGTTCTAAAGGCAAAGTTTACATTATCACACTTGGGACAAACCCAATCACCTTCAGACAAACCATCTGGTCCTGCAAACATCCAGATCAGTTTGATAAGACCAAGTAACAGTAAATCCAGATGAAGTGGGGATCTCCTAACTTCTCAGATGGAAAAAAAAATCAAATAGTTGCAGCAAGAATTGGAGGGGGGGATTGGTCAAAGTTCTTCTGGTATCGTGTCTTTTTGGCATCATTGATTTACCCTTGCAAGATAAGAATCAACCTAAAGGGCCAATTGATAACAGCTGAAGTGCCTGAACTGAAAAGCTTATTGCTTTGTCTTCAAGTGAATAAGATTTTAAGGAGGTTGGGGGGCTCCTTAATGGCTGAATCTGAAGTTGGGTACCTTACTATAATCTAGAATACTTTATTTATTTAATTATTTTTCCACTAAAAGACAAAACAATAAATCATTCCGTTTAGCAACGTCAGTTGTTATCAAATGGCCTCTAAATGAAGTTTATCTTATCACCATTAACCACATCTGCCATTAACCATCAATGCAAATTGAAATTGGAAAAAACCATGGTAGCATGTCAAAATAATTAAGGAAAACAAACCATAAACATGATAACGAGATTGACTAATTTATCAAGGAGAAAAAGGAAATTACTATAAAAAAAAGAATCTAGCCCAATCAAAGTATTAACAGGGTAGTACCAATAACCCAATAAAGAAAACTACAATAATGAAGTGGAAAACTGGTCATAGCAGTAATATTGATGTGCCTTAGCCTGCATCTGCTTATGAAAGGATGCAACTTTGCAATCTTTACCAAAAAATAGAAGAAATAGAAAAACATTCACAATATAGAAAAAAATCACCTCCACGACGCTTCCGAGAAGCACTGTTATCAGATATAGCTCCTACAGACCATGGACCTGGCATCTTGAATATTAAGAAAAGCATCAAATTAACTAAAGAGAAAAGATGAAAGGAAAACAGAAAAGAAAACATATCAATATCTTAGTAACATTGGAAAAAACATACTGGCAAAGGAGATCCACCGTAACCAAATCCTGGACCATAACCCATTCCTGATTCAACCAAAAGAAACCAGTTAAGGATAGCATACCATGTGCATCATATTTGTTTGTTTGTTTGGAATTAATCAATTATAAAATTGGCATGCATGTGCATGAGAGAGAGAGAGAACCTCCAAAAGGACCAGGTGGAAATGCAGAAAGAAGACCATAATGTCCTGTTGCACTTCCAGGAACTCCACCATAATCATATCTCATTGCAGACGGTGAGAATGGGGGTCCGTAGCTGTTGGGCATTCCAAGAGGCAAGGGTGGAGAAGCCCCAACACCTCCAAGATAAAAGGGAGTGTGGTTAAAAGGGCTAGGAACAGGGGAATATCCTATTCTCTGCAATGTCAAAAAATATATATGTATATATAAATAGAGAAACTTTTGATCAATAACAGGACTAAGAAATAAATGAGTAGTTTCCAAGCTTTCAGTGTGAATGAAATCATTAGAAGCTCGTTATGTGATGCTTCAACATCAAGAAGAAGGGCACCCGGGATAATGAGCTGGGCTCCCCCCTTTCAAACCAAATAAAATTCAATTTTGATGACTGTAGGCTGTAGCATGGAAAATGCAGGTAGATTGGGGATTGAAAGAGTTTCTACAAATCACTAAGGGCATAAAATGGCTATAAAAAATAATAAAATTTCTATATATATTCTGAACCAGCAGGTCAAAGATATTCAACCAGAGTGGAATAATTAGCTGTTCTACAAGGATTGAAAATGGAAAAACAGCCAACTTACAGAAATATCACAGTTGAAGGAGACTCAAAAGTGATCCCCAGTTGGCTTTGTAATGATAAACAAGGAAAATAGTAGCATGAGAATTCAATGGAGGTAAGGAGTCTAATTAGGGAGCTGGGAGCATCATTTTCCTGGATTCCTAATCAGCAAATAGTTTAGCAGATTCTTTTAGCTAGACATGGTGCAAATCGCAATCAATTGTATTGGGGGATCACAAAACAGGAAATGTAATTAGAAATACAAATGATGAAATGATATATATGATATGTATGGGAAGGGATGGGCAGCTCTAAATATTTGGGGATGTTCTCTACATCCACCTTGTAATATTTTTTTTTTTTTACTTTTTTTCAAATCATTAATGAAATGTGTTTATATTGGTGTTCACTTGATATTAGATATGCATATGGCATATGCAAAATTACAGGACTCCAGCTGCAAAGGAGCTTATAAGATTCAGAATAACATAGCAACAAATCAAATAAACCTGCTGAATGGAATTGCAATATTAAGATGCAAGATTGATTAATCCGAAAAAGCCTGTCAGAATTGAAATATGTCTTTACCCAGTAAGGTCCTAAGCACTGACCCAATGCTTATTGGGAAGAAAAAATAAATTGATTAAAAGGAACCAAACTAGCATACCGGAGTAGTGATTGGCCGGGCTGCACCACATTTTCCACGATTGCAAACAGTTCTGAATGCAAAGTTCAGATTACCACATTGAGGACAGGTCCAATCTCCATCATTGCGTGAAACTGGAACGAGTAAATTTCCTTCTTAGGGTAAACTAAACTTAATTGTAGATGAAATACATTGAAGGATTGGACAAAGTGTGTCATCCCTGATGTTAACCATCAGAAACAAATCAATTCACCTTTTTTAAACTTGAACATGGATAGTTCACAAAATTCTCGAGGAGCTTATCTATATTTCCCCGGTTCAGAGTGCTTTTGGTTGAATGAATGAATGAAAGCTTTTCATCATATGCTATAAAAAACAGGCATCATTTGGTCTTGCACCTATAGGCTCTATCCACCTAGCATTTTGAAAGAGCCGCAAACGACAATTCCTATTTTTGTTGACATGGGGTGTTAGAACTTATAAGCATAGATTATAGATAGACAAAACGGTGCACCAGGATCTATGATGAAAAATTGTTTAGGTATACCATCCCATGCAAATTGATGTTTAGTCCATGAATGCTTCTAACCGCCAAAAAAGTTACAGACACAGTTAACTGCAATAAAATGTTAAGACTCAAAGAATCTACAAAAACAAAACGACTCCTAAACTCACCATCATTACGAGACCTTTTTGATCCAAATGAGGCCCGATTATCAACCTGAACAATAAAGACACACCAATAACCACTCAGACAAATCGAGTTCCTGCTAAAGCCATATAAGAAGGAAAATAAAAAATAAACAAGTATACAAAGAAAAGAAAATCAAAACGAACGGCATAAAAGATGGCATACTGAATCACTGACGACAAAAGTTATAAGATAGCCATGAAAATACGAAATATACGATTTCAAATAATGAATTCCGCGGTAGTTATTACAACCCTAGTTCCAACAGCTTAAGGCGATGACCATGATGTTTGTAATCTTCAGTTGATAAGGTTAACTTAGTTATCGAAGAAGTGCAACGAAAAAGAAGCGAACAGAGAGAGAGAGAGAGAAAGCACTGACCTTGGCGGAAGCCATTAACAGAACTCTCTGCAACGCCGGAGAGAATTTTTCTTTTTCAAAAGGAGGCTACTTTTAAGTACACTTATAGAGCAGATTGTAGCGTATTAGACGCTTCGGTGTTAAGAGAGAGAACAACGATTCGCGTGTGGCATTTGATGATTTGAAGCGCCAGTGATATTTTTGTTGTTATTGGGCCTTAACAAAGAGCTTGAGTCATGGGCTGTTCGACCCATAAAAGTTAAAACGATCCGCTGTTGTCTAATTTTCGGAACATACTTCGGGAGTCGGGACCTACCTTTCCTATTCGGCTGTCCCACCACAGATTTGGGCGGTGGAAAGATTTATCAATAAGTCAGATTTTCTTCTTCTTCGCAATCCATGATTGATTTCAAGTTGAAACCCCCCAATCCTGGTACGAAATGTATATATATCTCAATCTCATCTCATCTCATCATGTTGATTTTTTTGATCAAGCCCACCCTGTTTAGTGGAACCCATCCAGTGGTATTCCTTTTTCATGGAAAGTTATGGGGCTCTCAGCTTTTCATTTTATTTATTATATTCCTCCGCTTTATCTTTTGCCATCTCGGACAGACAAGTAACTAGCAATGGATTCAGCCCCTGGGCCCAGAACGACCTGGATTAATTCTCGCCAATGTTTTGCATGTTCAAGTTTCAAATAATAGTGTCAATGGTTTCACTTTTTTTTTGGGTAATAAATAAGAGGAATTACACAAGACGGCGGTAAAGATACAACTTTATTTGCTAATCAATTTATCGCTTGATTTTCTTCAGACCTCTGAAGGAATGGGCATATCATACTCCACCATCCAGCTTATCTGCTAATCTCCACGGTCAAGCACGTAATAACTAGGAGAGTCGGAAAATTCCTAAAGTTCTGGGCCATATTGTGGGTTTCCCATGCAGCCAAGCTTCAACAACATTGATTGTTAGGGGTGACACTATTCGGTTTAATCGAACCAAAAATTTCGGTTTTTGGTTTCAGTTTTTAGAATTAGAATTTCGATTTAACCGAATTAACCAAAATTTTTTATTATTATATGTAATATATAATATATCATATATTTATATTAATATATACTATAATAAAATTTGATTTCATAATACATATTATATATTATATGTTATAATAGAGTATATATTATTAAAATTTGGTTTTAACCGAAAAACCACTTGATTTTTCTAAACTTCGGTTTTGGTTTCAGTTTGTATTTTTTTAATTCGATTTTTAAAATTTTGATTTATTCAATTCGATTCTTAATCGAATAAACCAAATACTCACCCCTATTGATTGTAGTATAACCCACCAAGTATGCTTTAATATTTAAAACTTCCCCACAAAAATTCTTCACAATGCAAGCAATAGAGCAAAATCCATCATTTTTCTTCGAAGCATCGAAATTATCTTAATCATTCCCTCTTTTGGCCCTTTCCATGTAACTGTTTTCCAAATTCTAGTATTATTCTCTTTGGTATCAAAGGAAGAACCTAGATGAAATTCCCTGAAAGATTGTTGAGCTTTTCTTTTTTATAATAGCTAAGGGGAAAAGGATCTATTATTAAACATTTTTTCGTTTCTATTTTCCATAAAAGAATAAGAGGTTAACTCTTCCCAGAAAGCCTGAATCTTGGGATCTGGGATCACAGGATCTATAATGGTGACCTGGACCCTCGAGAATTTGCCACCTCCCCTTTTCAAACATCACCATGCACAGTGACAAACCCTCTATTAAATTGGACAATGTGAGCATCTCTCCAAGTTGGTTTTTAGCATAGCCTTTGAACATGATGAAGCAGAAGGCTACTCAGGTGGATGCAGGTCACCCAATTGAGTTCTTTAGCCCAAAGAATTAAGCCTCAAATGGGGGATATAGACACGAGTCTAGACCGGCTGATATAGACCAACCAAGGTCCAGCAAACCAAGAAAATGTATAACATTTCCCATAGAATCCATTGCTTGATAAAATCACAGTTCTCACTTCTCAGGCTGACAAGCATATGAACAGGGAACCACTGAAGAAGTTTCAGTCTTAATGTCAATTTCAAGTCATAGATAGATAAATTTGTCTCGCAAAGTTGGATGCTTCCGTTTGCAACTCAGCTTCAGCTACATGCCTCAACTAAACTCAATGGTCAATACTGCTACTTCCCACCGGAATCAAGCAAAATATTTGCCGAATGAACAAAGAAAAAGCAAAATTTACAACCACTGTCGCGAAAGAAATAACAATATTGACACTCGTCCAAGAGGATAAATAAGTATCATTTGACTAACAAATACAACCCCGTCAACAACAGCAACAGCAACCGGGGTCTGACCTACAGGATCTGAGCAGCTGTGTTCAACTTCTCTGCAAGGCTCAGTTGCGTCCTTGTAAGACTCGACAAATAGAGCAATAGCAGATGGTCCTAACAGGAACAGAACAAACAATACCAAGCAAAGCAAAAATGAGATACCACAAATAAGAGAGGATGATATGAGAGAATAATGATGTGAAGCTATTCAGTAAATACGGTAAAATCCAATTCCCAGAACAAAAAAAAAAAAGAGCACTCCCCCTTCGTAAGAAAAATAAAAAATAAAAAACCCATCTTTATCTTACCTGTAGACTATCATTTACAAGCTTATCAAAAGCTGCAGGTGATATTTTCGGTATGGAGTTTACAGTATCAGATATGAATCTTCCAATTTTATTGTCTGGAGCAACACGCCTCTCCTGAGAAAGAAAATCGTTACGGAATTACAAACACAAGCTGCAGCAAATGAAACCAAGCAGGGCACACAGTCACGTCTCTTACCACAACATTGTCAACGTATTTGTAGACGTCATCAATCAGTGCGAGAAGCCTCTCCATCGAAGCTTCCATTCCTTCCAAATCATTGGGTACTTTGTCTACCATTGTTGTCTTTAGGATATCAACTGCAACGATGCAAAATGTTTCAAGGAACATTCTACAAACTGATTTTGCATATTTTACATTAGAAAATTAGATAAATATCAGTCAGTCAAACCGATGTAGACTTCGGTATAACATGAATAAAGATATGATCCTCAGCCAATTTAAGTATACTCCCAATTCTCTCTACTATTAGCCAATGTAGGAACAAATAACAGGATAATACAAAATGAGTTTGGATACCTAACTCCTTTGGTTATGTTAGAAGTTTGCAGGCTTTTTCTATGCAGAAGCCAATGCACACAGAAAGAGCTTGAATTGCTTTCCACATAAAGTTAGAAGTAGGTCCCTTCTAACTTGTGTTCCTGTAGAGTTGCCAAAACTTGTGTATTGTTGAAGATTATGCCAAACCTTGATGATTGCTACTCAAACGATCAAACCTATAGTAGGGACTACAACAATGTAGCAGGTGGGTTGGTGATCTAGATCTACACACTACAGATCAAACAAATGCCAGGCAAGGAAATGGGTTCCAGTGAGAGGAGTTCTTTTATAGTCCAGTAACGGTGACTGTTTAACAAAATCCAAGACAATGTAGCAGGTGGGTTGGTGATCTAGATCTACACACTACAGATCAAACAAATGCCAGGCAAGGAAATGGGTTCCAGTGAGAGGACTTCTTTTATAGTCCAGTAACGGTGACTGTTTAACAAAATCCAAGACTTTTGCATGTATGCACCCACTCATGGGCTGATTACTAAGGGGATAAGTGGTAGTGCTGATGAAAAACAATAGTAGTGGAAAGTTGGATGTTACGAGGGAAGAATTGTGAAGAGGAAATAAAATGGTGGCTAAAAACAGCTAGTAAAGTACTCGTAATAAAAAGGCTAGTAAAGTAACTGGACTAACAGAAAATTTATGTAAACTTGCAATCCCAAACAAGCAGTAAATTTGTGTATATATGTATATATATGTGTGTGTGTATATAAACATATATTTTAGCAATAAATAATGTATAAACATGTTTTAGATATATTATATGTATTATTTTAAATTTAATTTATGTTTTTTAATTCAGTTTGTAATTTTTTTATTTATAAAAAATATTAAGAATTGCAATTTGAGGCAAAAAAAAGGGTTTTTTTCGTGAAAATGGCGGGGCAAGGCACCTAAGGATCCTTGGGACACATAGGTCTCAAAAAGTTATCCGAAATAAAAAAAAAAAAACACCCCAATCAGACATCAGAGTGCAAAGTTATGGCCTCCGAAAGTTTGCATGCATTGAGTGTGCAACCCGCAACCCGGTCACCAGGTCGAACGGGTCAGCGGTCAGACGGCTCTTGACCGTCTGGCGGGTCTTGACTGAACCAGACCCAGAATACTGGCCGGGTGATGGTTCAAATGGTTTGACCAACCAGGTCAACGGCGGCTTCAAAACATTGACTTAAACAACATCAAAGAATAGAGTACATTATTTATGCACAAACACACCAAAAAATAGATCAAAATGAGTTGGCTCAGTAAGCAAGTAGTAAAAGCAGGCATCGGGGTCAAAAGTACATACATCCAACTCGCTCAGCTTCAATCATCCGGAGATCCAGAGGAATTTCTTGAAATTGTGCAGCAATCTGCCGATCTCCAAGAGACAAGTTGACAGAAACAAAAGCTTTGATGGAAGCCTCCCCATTTCTGAATCCCGTATCTACAGTTAAATGAACTGGGTTTGCTACTTCTCTTGAATAGAAATCATGGATTAGTGCACTGCCCCCAGAGACTCCAAAGCCTGTTGAATACCTGTACACAATCACACATAAGAAAAACCACATTGTGTACAACTGCACCAATAAATATTATTGAGTTTTTGGCATGTGAAAATGGGTTTCAAAAAGTTAAAACACAGGCACATGATACAAATAAATGCACCTCCAAAGCTCTACAAATTTAACAAGGTAGCATCTTCAGAATTAATCGGTAGGAAAAAAATAGCAGTACTAGCTGAAAGCCCTTGTATGTCCAAACAGAAATATCAGGCTCAAAAAAATCTAGTATGATTTTATGCATACATACACGTGTAGACGGTAAGCTTTAAAAACTAAAAGTTAAAGAATGGTACAAAAACATTGCATGTGCTACTGCATACGTACACATGAATGAAAAATTTTCATTATTTTATGGTCCTCATTTCATCTGGCACCTGTTAGTGACATAATAGCCTAAAATGTGCATTTACACTTCTTTTGTCCATTAACAAAAAGTAGTGTAAAAGAAAAGGATAGTGTATCAGTGGATTACTCAGAGAAAGAATACAACATAAAAGTATAGCCCGTGTACAAATACATGCTATTTTGGATTCTATTCCCAGGATAGAACTATGACAAATGTTATCTATAGCTTATAGAGTATATACACGTTATCAAAATCAAGAGAGAGAGAGAAAAGAAAAGAAAAGGAGTAGTTATCTTAACTCCTTTGCAATCATGATCCACAAGAATAGCATGCCAATCACCTTTCTTAAGATTAGTTTAGAGTAGAGAGTTGATTTTTAAAAATATAGTCCTTTTTCTCCCCTATACTGTCAAGAAAATTGCAAAAAGGAGGCATCACTATAGTGTTCATACTTCTCCCCTTATGATCAGGCCTTTCCAGTGTAAACAAGAAAATAGTTCCAAATTTATGCTACCTGGATACAGAAAGGAAACAGCTGGATATGGTATCAGATATGAAATTTATACTAAAAATTTTAAGTATCCCAGACAGCACCCTTGTCAGGTATCCCAATATCATAGCTCCAAAGTTGAGAGGGGAACATTGTAGAGCTTTAAATATTTCCAAGAAATAACCCCAAAGGTAATTGCTGAATTTGCAATCTAGGAAGAAGTGGCTCCCTATATCTTAAGAGGTTAGAGAGGTTTATCCCCCACCCTGCATGCTGGTCAGATATCAAACATTTATCAGTTTCTCTAGAGGCTGTCTGCATGCTACACCAAAAAGACAACCTTACGTCAAACTTGGGAACCAAAAAAAAAAATCCAAGCTCAAGTTTCAGACTTATTTATTTATTAGAAGGGGTAAAGTATCAATTCATTAAAATGGAAAAATAAAAGACCAATGTAGAACACGAGGCTGTATAATGGGAGTGCCTGATTTAGCCTAGGGGGCTGGTATTTAAATTCAGCAACAGAAAAAGCAGCAAAACTTCACCCAATAATTGAAGTTACCTCTGAACCCTCAAATCCATGCAGTTTCTTAATGATTTGCTTCCTAGCAGCCATGAATTAGGACCTTTACCTATGTCCCATTGCGTACCCTGTACTTTATACCCATTATAATGAATTCAGAGAGGAAACTTTCAGTGCCTTTCAAAGGTGTACAACCATAAAATAAGTTCTTACTAAAAAAAGAGAAACATAAAATAAGTTAACTAGAACCACCATTTCTTATGCCACAGTTTACACTAATTACTTCTCTCTAAAGTGCTTCAGGTCCTTCATCAAACTAGCACCACCATTTACTTAGTGCCAATGTATTGACAGCTCTCAAATGTCCAATGATTTAAATCCATGTTTTGAGTAGTGACTTCAAAAAGGATTAGAATTTTCAGGAAAAAAAAAGTATATTTGAAAGTAGAGTTTTAGGTATCATGATTCTTAATTATGTTTTCCCTATTTTTCAGCATGACTTCATAATGGATCAGAATTTTCAGGAAGAGTATATTTAAAAGTAGAGTTTTAGGTATCATGATTCTTAATAATGTTTCCCCTATTATTATATTATCCCTTTCTTAATGCTAGTTTATCCAACCATGTAACTTATCTCTTAAATTTTCTCTATTATGGTCCAAAATAAGAGATCTCTCTTTTTTATTGGTAAGTTAGAGATCTCTACCATCCTCCACCCATTTTAAACCTTGTAAATGACATGACTTCAAATCCCCAAAGAAAAAAGTAAGCAAGCCTTTTTTTCAGTCAACAAGATGGCAAATAAATTCATCCTTCCAACCTTTTTTCTAAGAAATGAGAATCCCTTTCTAATTTCTCATTCTTTCAGCTAAACTAACAATGGCAGGGAAAAATCAAATTTTTTTTTGAAAAAAGAAAAAACAATTTAGACAGCATTTACATTAGACCAAGTATAAAGCTAGCAAGATCTGTATGCATGTAAAAGAACATTTTCATTTTCATGCAAGTGGTCTTTTCAATTTATACATATAACATAATAAACAAGTAGAAAAAAGTCACTAACAATAAGAGTAGAGAAATTACCATCCAACAATGACTTCCTTTGGATTCACCTTTTGGTGAGATGTCAACATGTTGTGATGGTAATCAATGTCCAATGCCACCTGTAATAGGGTCAAAATCCCAGGTGACAAGAAGATGAGACATACTATTAAAAAATATTTACCTATCGATAACAAAAAATCAAAAACTATATATTAATAGCACCAGTTATAAACAAAAAAAAAGAAAAAAATGCATAATCAACTTGATAATGATTGCAATGCATAAACAAAATTTTGAAAACAAGAGGGAGAATTGCAATGATAGGTATCAACAGTTCATTCATTGTTGGGATCACGTTAAAGATTTGTCAATATACCTCACCATAGATATTTTGGACCAAGTACATTTTCTGTATAGCTGAACCAATAGGCCTCTGCTGAGAGTCTGCGACAATTGCAGACTCCTCAGGCTCTACCATGTATAGATTTTCACTGTACATAACACTTGTGCTTGTTCTGATAGTTGGAAGTTTATTACAATTGATTACCCATTGTCAAAAGACAACAACAAGAAGAAAGAGTGCAGACACCCCAAGATCAAGAGTATCGTCCTGAAACCTAACGAACCCTTTCCCAAACTTTCATCTCATCTAAACCCAAACCAGTCGTACAAAAAATACGATTCCAGTCACAGAAGGATACTTAGAAACACCTAGAAAAAATAAGAAGAGGAGAGGTGAATGAAACAATTTAGCAAGTAAAAGGGGCAGACCTGATCAGAGGACTCGTTGTGAGGAACTGCATAGGAGTTGCGAATCTCAACTGTTCCGTCGGGAGAGATCGATCCAAGTAGAGTTCCAATGACTCGTTCTGCTTGATCTGGGCGTCTGACGTAGCAATCACAGATGTTGAATATCACCACCGGATGAACCTTCGCAGACAAGCTCGTCGATGATGGGAAAAATTGCAGTACGGTTGGTTCTCTCGATGCCATCGTTACTCCCTCGGTTTCTGATTGGAGCCAAGGGAGAGCTGCAACTGCCACACGAAAACGAGAGACGGAGAGACGGAAAAAGGGAGAGAGAGGAAGAGAGGGAAAAACACAGCAAGATGGTGCAAGAGTTTAGGGTTTGGGAACCGGGAATTGGGGGAAGTGGGTTTGTCTTTCCTGGGGCGCTCGGGATTCCTAGTGCTATAAACCCGGAACAGGCCGTCCGGTCCAACCGATTTCCGAATTGTTCGAATATGGTTATCTGATGATTTATGAACGTCGAATGGGTCAGGTAATCGGGTAAAACCGTGAAATCACGGCCCTTGATGTATTATCGTGAGTTTGTGACTCCACCTTCACTTCATCCGATTCATAGTGAAGCCACGTGGATATACAGTCTGCCGAAACGCCCTATGAAATAAAACACATAAATACGGAGATATTCTCGATGTAAGGCTGTAAAACTGTTGAAACCGACGTTGCACTGCCTGAAATCAATTGCCGAAACATGCGTAGAGATATGCTACTAACAAAAATGTTCCCAATACTATCCCAACGGACCACTGTAGTCGCACATTGGGAACATCTCACTTGTTCATGGGTATTCCCGATGTACTGTTGCAATGAATGATTGAAATGTTGTTGCTGCCATGTATTCGTAGCTGATCTGAACTCCCGAAATGGGATTGGGAAGAAGGCGAGATCGGCTTCAGTCAGAGCAAGGCCCCTTTGGTGTTCCAACAGCTTTTAGAGCCTTGCATTGGAAATATTTCCATGCTTTTGTGGTTTATTTCATGGAGAGATATTCTCAACGCAAGGATAAAATGGCTGTTTGGATGGACTTTGCTTTGATTGAATCTGGTCAGGCGAGGTCGGCTTCAGTCAGTGCAAAATTCGTTGGAATACTGTTTGAACAGCCTTGTATCGGGAACATCTCCATATTTCTATACTTTATTTCATGGGAAGATATTCCCAATACAAGGCTATGATGGTTGTTTGAACTGGCTTTGCAATACCTACTGTTGCTCTTTGTTAAATGTCAAGCTCAGAGGCCCATGTAAGCTTTTGGGTGCCCAAGCTAGCAATTTACCCTGCTTCGAATTCGAACATAGGCCATCGGGCCAGGCCCAATCCAAGCCCGCCAAAATTGCATCCCAACGCTTCAGTTCAGCTTTCATCCTCATTACTCCAGTTATTTTGAGATCAAATCAGCCCCCCACTAGATAGCCCCCCACAACGTCTTACAATACATCTCTATCGTGTATTGGAAACATCTCCCGATGATGACATCATCATTTTTCAATACACGACGAAAATGTGTTATGGGACGTTGTGGGGGCAGTCTTGTGGGAGACTGATTTGAACTCGGTTATTTCATCCACTAGAAGACTAAGTGATAAGCCATTCGGTTCAAACCGTTCTGTCACTTCGAAGTTCAAATGGCACCCAGCTCAACTAAATAGTAATATAACTAATAAGGTATTTGTGGTAAAGGTAATCGACCAAACATGCCATTTAGCCATTAAAAAGCTCACAACATAGTTAAGTATTAAAGAAAAAAAGCAATAAATCATTCAGTTCCCTCGTTTCAGCCGTTACCAACTTCAGATCTCCTGCCCACGTCTACCCACAACACACTACCCCCGTGAATTGGGAACATCTCCCCCTGAATAATACATAAATACTATATGTAGGAGGATGAGATATTCTCCATGTGTGACTGCAATGTTATGTGGGTAGACGTGAACAGAGTTTGTGTGGACAGGAAATCCAGATTCTTACAAATGACCTATAGTCTCAGTTAGACCTGTTCACCGGCTGGGCTTCAACTTAGCTTATGAACATTTTATACTACTTCAGGCTTAATCTTTGGGTCGGGCCCATTCAGATTTTTCTAAAAGTTCGGCCCTACCCGATCCATCAACAGGTCTAGTCTCAGTCCAAATTTGATTGGGCTTGGGTGTCAAATTTCCAAGTTTTCTTCAACGAATGTTAATCGTGGGCTTGTATTGGAAGTCCTAATTGTTTGGGCGTAAAATGAATCTCACAAAGTTGAGCCTGCAGTTACATGGGTTTGATCCCTTGCACTTCCATAATTGCAGGGATGTATGTCAATTACCATTTAGATATTGGTCATTAGCTTGTAATCTTGTTTAAGAGAAAGAAAAGTAAAACAATCTATGGTTATGAAAAGATTAAAAGAAGCAAAGCGATGTGAACTGATTAGTTGAATGCTTTAACTGTGTATTAGGAATTCAAATGAGCCCCCACAACACATTCCCTCTGTGTATTGAGAATATCTTCCAATGATGATATCATTATTTTTGGTATTACCATCGGGAGATGTTTTTCATACACGACAGAGATGTATTGTGGGACATTATGGGGGGCAATCTTGTCGGGGGCTGATTTGATCTCGTGTATTAGGCTGTGGAACCAATAAAAGTGTCCCATGGGATGAAAAATATATGGAGCCCACACTGAAAGATTGAATGTTTAATGGACCCTATGTATTCTATAACTGGTGTGGAGTAGCATGAAACAACGTAAGGGTATCAATGGACCAGATTCGGACTGGACCTTGTCCAATTCAAATTCCATTTGGACAGATTGGACGATCGAATAAAACATATGGGGATGGACCAATCCAGAATCAAATGTCCAATGTGTATTTGAGATTAGAGTGGATATAATGACTCTGGATCTCCTGCCCATGAGGACTCTGCCCACATCTACCCACAACACACTACCCCCCTGGTGAATTGGGAACATCTCTCCCTGCATAATACTATGCAGAGGTTGAGATATTCTCCCTATATGACTGCAATAAATGTGGGTAGAGTTTGGGTGGGCAAAAGATCCAGACTCGGATATAACTCATATGCCCAATGGTCTGTCCAAATCCCATTTGTTCATGCATAATTGAACCTTACTTTTCCTGGATTCTCCCCCCTCCGATTTTGTCTCCATCTCTCTCTCAATACCAACTTCATTACTTCATTTAATTAAACATAAAGTTAATAAATAGAGAACATTCAAATGTGAGACTAAACCCATCCACTTGATTAAGCTTGTAAACGGTATTTGAAAATTTGAATTTAAATTCAAGATTCAGTATAATATAAATATATAATCTGATCGAATTTGGATATGTATCGATTCAATCCGATATATATTTGAACTGATTATATATATAGAGAGAGAGTAATTTATTTAAATAAAGGGGCTAAAAAGGTAAAAAGGAAAGGCCGATTATGACTCTCACTTCACCCCTTTCACTCTTAGATAGGAAAGTGGATGAAAGCAAAGAACATTCAAATTGGAGTGATTTAAAATCAGAGTTGAGCTATCAACTATAGGTTGGAAATTCGAGTCATGCATGATTCGAGTTGATGCATCATGCATGTTGAGATGCAATGCAGTCTTGGTGTCAGGTGTAAGCCTGTAATCGGTTAAATTCGAATCAAATCGAATATTCAACCTAATAACTGAAGTCAAATTCGAATATGAGTTTTTGATATTTGTCAGATATTGAATCAAATTTGAATATGATGAATCATAAATGGTTTCAAATTTGAATCTAGCTTGATTCTATTTGAATTCGATCTGATTACAGGCCTACATCTGACATTAGGACTGCATTGCATCTCAACAAGCATGATGCATCAACTCGAATTTCCAACCTACAGTCGACAACTCAAAACTGATTTTGAATCACTCTAATTTAAACGTTCTTTGTTTTCATCTGCTTTCCTCTCTCTCTCTCCTAGTGTCAATTGGATTGGATTTTGTTCATTCCAATTCAATCCAATATGAATCATTTTGGACCATTTTGGATTGGTTCAATTCAATATTGACTGTTCAATTTGTTCAAATTGATTTTAGTTTAGATCAGTTCTGACCCAAACTTAGTTCATTGACACATGTATTCTTTTCTTTTATCAATGGACTGGATATTGGTTCAAACTGGCCCAATTCAAAATAAATCCATTACAGGTGGGCTGGGTCCAACCCAATCCAATAAATACTTTGGACCATTAAGTTTGGAATGGTCCAATTCAATATACCATATTGGTTTGTCAAATTTATCCAAATTGATTTTGATTTCGATAGGCAAACCCAAAACCGATCCATTGGCACCCCTATTGTCAGTGGTTTTTATTTTATTTTATTGTATTTTTAGTTTTGGATTGTATGTTATGGTATTTTTATAAAGTTTCTACTATATTTCTATAGTATTTTAATAGATGTTTTATGTTTTATTTAATTTGGATTGGATTGGACCCCATCTGGTCCATTTGTATTTTAATCGGATCAGTTTGGACTTGGTTCGTATGGACTTGGACTGATTGGATCCAATCCATTTGTAAATGGACCCATGTTGGACCAAATTCAATCCAATTGACACCCCTAAGTGAATACACTAGTGAGCCACATATACCTACACCACATGTGGGTCTTGTGTCAACGTGTTCACTTGTGATTGGTCAATATACAAATCTATGTTCAAAGTAGATCATGACACCAATAAAATATGGATACAATACTTTTGTTTTTAAACTAAAAAAAAAACATATAATTAACAGCTTTTTTGGTTAGATTGCTAGTATATCCATATTTTATTGGAGTTCGGATATATGCCTCACATCATCCTCACAGTTAGACCTGTTCATGGGCCGGGCACGGGTTTGGATTTTGCCAAATTTTGAATGGGGCCCAGCCTGAAGCCTGAGTTCGACACAAACCCGCCCTGTGAACAGGTCTACTCACAGTGCATTGTAACCGTGTGTTGGGAACATCTTCTCATGAATGATAACATTATGTATGGGAGATGTTTTCAAGGATGGCTGCGATGTGCTGTGAGGTTGGTGTGAGGCACGCTCTACGAGGAGCAAATTCGATCTCATTTTATTGGATCTTGCAAGAAAATGCCGCAACTATGATTGCTGTAAATGTGAAATCTCTCTCTAAAATTCTAGTCTGATTTGTAGGGCTGTCAACGATCAGGTCTAGGTTGGGATAGAGTATAATTAATTGGAATGGACTTCACAAAAAATGAAAAAATATAAAGGAACTGGAACCAAACCACACAGGGTCTGTAATTTTAGACCTAAAATCAAATCAATCAGTTCTCAAGACAATTGAATCTGACCCGATGGCCCCAATCACAACAAACCT